ACACAGCACGCTGGTCCCTCCAGCACCTCACTGGTGGCTCCAGCGGGAGATTTTCTAAGGAAGACATTCGCATCCGAACCAGAAGCTCGTCAAAAGTGAAGCGCCCGGCTGGGCTATTTTCAAGGGTGCTAGAGATGCTCCGAGAAAGCTCAAGGGCCCTGGAGAGAATTGCGGAGGTGTGAATGCCCTAACACTTAAACCCACTGTGGTCGGGTTACTCCTCTAGTGAAGGCTTATGCCTCCAAATACCTTCTTTCTGCATTTTCATGCCGCAGGCTGGACTAGGTCTGTTCAGCTCTGAGCAATTTTGCCGTGGGGACAGCGAGTCCCGGCTTTGGCAAAAGGCCACGTCTTGGCCACGTCTCCCAGGCAGAAAGCAGTGCGCGGGGGTGGTGGTGCTGCCCTCGGCATTTCAAAGCAGATTTCAAGTGCTTGGGCAAGGAGGGATTTAAGGCCTGGAGGCATGATTTGGAGTGTGTTGAGCTGCCTGAGGGACTTGCTGCTGGTTTTATTTCCTTCTGCCCGGCCCAGGGCTGATTTGGCTGACTCAGCTTGTGAGGCTTACCCTCTGGGTAGAGGTGCTCTGAGGTTTGCAAAGCTGAGAGGGAAGGGGGAGGATGACAGGGGTGTGGACTTTGGCATGGTGTTTTTGGCCACCCCAGACAGCAACAGCAGCTATTGAGGGTCAGTCCCAGTCCCCACTCTTCAGGGCTGAGCCTGATGGGCTTGGCTGTGTCTTCTGCTCCACGGACATGGTCATTGGGTGCTGGTATCTCAGAGAACTTAGAGCCATGACTGGGATGGCTGCACCGTGCACAGGTGCCAAAGGGATGTTGGGTGCTGTGGGTGCTTGACATTTTAGGCTGTGCTGTTACTCTGTCGCGGAGCCCAGGGGGAAAATGAAGGTGCAAGCTCTTCAGGGTTATAAACTGTGTGGCTGTAGAGATGCATCTACAGCAATGCACTGTTGAAACCACCTCCGTCTACAGACAGAAAGAGTGAAATGTCTCATCAGAGAGATTTCCACTTTCCAAGACCATAAGATGCGGGTGAAGAATATAAGAAAAAACAAACTCCACCAAAAAGGCAGCTTTGTGATATTACTACTTTTATTAGATATAATAAATACTCTTTGGAAAAGTAGCAGAGCCTTATCAAAGGCATATCAATACCAGCAGAAGGGCACAAGATTAATTACTCCATTAATCCTGGAGTTCTCAGTACAGGGATGAAGCATAAAGGGAAGAGGACACGCTGGAAGGAAACGGGTGAACAGACCCAGGTCTTGAGGGAAAAAGATGACATGACAGAGGCAGGGCTGCTCCTGATGAGAACCAGGGCCATGTGTGGCTGTTACTTCTGGTGGGTGG